GTTCTCTGTGGGTCTGAGAGAGGGAAGGGGGAGGGAGGGAGGGAGGGAAGGGGGGGTGCACAGCAATGAAGGCAGAATCACCCCTCAGGGGCAGAATACCAGCATAGTAGGAGAAGGGATAGAATGAGTGGTATAGATATGTATAAATAATAATAATAACACATAAGATAGTAAGGGTTCCTAGGGGTGTCAGGGTAGGTGAGGGAGGGGAATAAAAGAGGAGCTGCTATCAAAGGGCTCAAGAAGAAAGATGATGTTTAGAAATTGTTGATGCCAATAATTGTACATGTCCGCTTGAGATAACGGATGTATGGGTTGTTATAATATATGTAAGAGCCCCCAATACAATGATTTATTTCAATATATATATATTGCATCTCGAGAGGGATCGTACAGTTTCTGTCCTTGTGCGGCTGGTGTATTTCACTTGGCATAATGTGTTTGAGGGTCACCTGTTGTAGCATGTTTCTGAACTTCAGTTTTCCCCGTGGCTGAGCAATAACCCCTGGAATCAATGGACAGTTTATTGCTGGCCCATCCATCCGTTGATGGGCGCTGGGGTCTCTTGCGTCAGTCTGACTGCTGTGAGCCTTTGTGCGCATGGGTCTGTTTACATCCCTGCCTCCAGTGCTTTCACCCCCACAGAACTGTGGTTTGTGTCCTCACGTCCTGCCACTGTGTCTGGGGGGCCATCATGTAGTGAGTGGCTCTCCCTCTCCGCCCTCGTGTTCCGTTCACGTGGCTCTGAAGCATGGGGACTGTGTCAGCTGGGGTTCTCCAGGCGACCAGAGACAACCAGAGACATGGTTTACGTATTTTTTCCTTCATGAATCATTTTATTGGGGGCTCTGACAGCTCTTATCCCATTCCATAGGTCCACTGTATCAAGCCCATTTGTACATATGTTGCCATCATCCTTTTCAAAGCATTTTCTTTCTACGTAAGCCCTGGGTATCAGCTCCTCTCTTTTCCCTTCCTCCCTCATGACCCCTTGATAAATTATAAGTTATTATTACTACTTTCATATCTTACACGGTCTGCTGTCCCCCTTCACCCATGTTTCTATTGCTCATCCCTCTTGGTGGGGATGAGGTTTATACATTGATCATTGTGATTGGTTCCCCTTTTCCATTATTGTACCTGAGGGGTTTATCTGTCCTGGATTCCATGTGTCGAGAGCTCATATCTGTAGACATGGTGTATTTTTTTGCAGTAGATGGTACCAGTGTAGGTTTGCATCACGGTCAGGCCACACATGCCTATAGAAGCAGGTTGGTAGGTAGAGCTTTATTTTAGAGAATCGCATCACACAGTTGTAGGGGTGGACAAGCCCAAAATCTGCAGGCCAGGCAGACAGGACATTCTTGTAGGATATCCAGTAGACTCTCTCCGTCAGGAAACCTCAGTTTTGCCCTTCAGGTCTTCCACTGATGAGATGAGATGAGGCCCGTCCACAGTCTGAAGGGTCATCAGCTGTGTGTGTCAATCACATGTAAATCCCTTTGCAACAGCTTTGGGACGAGTGTTAACCACACCGCTGGGCACAATAGCCTGCCCAGTCACATCAAAGCCATAACAATGACTCGAACCAAAAGATTGCTGCTGTGTTCGACCCTTCCTGAAAACAAACACTTAGCAGCTAGAGATTCTGCGACATGACACACGGCCCCAAACCCTGGTGTTTCAAAACCAAGCCATGTATGTAGCCCACAGAGCTTTGGGACCATCCAGGTGGGGCTCAGTTGGGTGGTTCTTGTGGCCGGGCTTCCTCGTGCATTGGGGTGATTCGAGTGGACCACCCCTGCCGGTACTGGCAGGCCATGGCCCTGGTCTTCTCTGCATTCAACACAAGTCAAGAGGCCAGCTAGACTCTGACTGGGAGGGACCGCAGAGTCGCATGGCAAGGGGATTGGATGCACAGATCAGGACAACTGTAGCCAACCTCACAAAGTACTGCAGAAGAAGCCGTTAGAAACCGCTGTTGTACGACTCGTGGCATTGCTAGCTGTGATAACGAAAACACCGATTGCTTTCTCGCTAAGCGGCCAGCATGTTGTCATCCTGGTAGGGTCGGGAAGCACAGGTTGTTCCTCCACAATGAACCAGCCTTTGGGTCAAGAGATTTATGCCTTTGCCCACCCAAATGCCGGGCATCCCTGCACTGGGAGCATCTGGGGACCCGCTGCCCAATTTTCCTTTCCCTCCCAATGTGCCCGGGCCCTGACCCCTCCCTCCCGCCATGGAGTTGGCAGCATCGACAGGGAGAGAGCCTGAGTCAGCAGTGCGGGCCCCAGCAGGGAGAGGCATCATGGCCCTGCCCACAGACCCTGGGGCTGCAGCTGAGCCTGCAATGGGGCCAGATCCATCGACGAGGAAAGTCGTCTGGGAGTACACACGCACCAGGGAGTGGCAGCGGCCAGAAGGACTGATGGTTGTTGGGTTCTTTCCCCCATCTGGGGATCCTGGGAGATGAGGAATGCTCTATTCTTCTCCCAGGCTCCCTAAAATAACCCAGGCACCGTTAATGATGCCGGTCCTGCGGAGGGAGCAGCCTCAGGGAGAGCCCTAATATCCATTAGACGGAGACTTTTGCTCCCAATTACAGCAAAAGGGAGTCCTGGGACCTGCTGGGAGGACCCGGGAAGCCAAGCTGCAGCCAGAAGTCTCCATTAGTGGTTGTTTCGTAGCACCGGCAGCCAGACGAACCTTGCACTCATGGTTACAGCTCACCCGGTAAAGCCGGGGAGCCTGGGTTTGAACCCCTCACTGGCTGGGCAACAGGCACTTCGCATCGCTGAGCCTCAGCCTCCTGGGCTGGTTGTGAAGATGAGGGCAGGAAGTGTGTGCCTGGCCCGAAGCCAGTAGGATTGGTGATGTCGTCGTGACCACCAGCCGTGAAACCCCAAGGCCAGCGCTGCAGAGACGAACAGATAGATAAGTGGGCAGCGTGGACATCAGGGCTAGCGAGGGAAAGGTGTTTGCCCAGAGTCACACAGGTCGTTTGTGGTGGAGCACGCTGGCTCCCATGCCCAGGATAGCCCAACGCCAGCCGTGGCATTACCATCTTGGCCATGGGGAACCAACTAGTGTGGCCTCTTTTGCCTACTATGGGCTTAGGAAGGGAAGCCAGCTCTCTCCAGGGCCTGCCCTCCCGTGCCCAGACGAAGGCCATAGACGGCTGGTGGCTGCTGGGGCCAGGGAGGGCTGCAGCCACTCCCCAGCCCAGACTGGGAGAGCAAGACTGCCCAGCACCGTGTGACCAGAGACAGGGCAGGAAAGAAGCCCATTACCCTCCCCACAGTGCCCTCCCCATGGATAAGGAAGCGGGGCTGGCCCGGCTCCCCGACGCTGTCTCACCTCCACTGGGGCCCTGCATCTTCTGTGTCTGCCTGCAGCCTCACACCCAGGAGGCTGGGGCTCCTTGGGAACGGAGCCGTCTTGGTGGCTGGTGGCCTAGACTCTTGGGAAATGCTGGGCGGGTGGATAGGTGGGTAAGGTAAGTGGATTGGTGTGTGTAGGTGGGTGGATGTGTAATTGATAGATAAGGTACAGGCAGGGCCGGGAGTCCATGGGGTGGGTGGTGGGTGGGTATGTGGACGGTTGGATGGGTCAATCTGAGCAGGGAGATATTTCAGAACAGAACTGATGTCTTTGCCTCCTGCTTCCCTGTTCTTGTGGCAGCCCAGACCCCTGGCCAGGACGTGCACGCGCTGCACCTCCAGCCTGCTCGGCTGGCTCCTTCCGAACACCCCTCGGGCATCCTGGCTGCACTGACCCCCAGCAAGCGAGCCACAGCCCCTGATGCGCTGCTACCTCTTGTCTAAAGAGAAAAGCACTTGATCCCTGGGTGGGGGTGGGAGGTAGGACTGCAGTCGTTCTCCATGGATGCACAGACCTGAAGACCACCTAGTCAAGCACCCTCACCTTACACCAAGGCCCAACGGTGACGTCAGAACCCAGAAGGCCTGACACTCAGGGCAGGAGGTGATGGTGACGAGCGAGCGTTGGCCCTGAGCTCAGAACAGACCAGCGTTCAAGCCCAGCCTCAGTGTGCCCTGCTCGCGCGGCCCTGAGCCAGGTCCTTAACCTCTCGGAGGCTTGTAAACAGTGGATCACAAGGAATCCCGATGGCTGCCGCCTCTTGTCCCCGGCTGAGGACGATGCTCCGGTTCCACACACACGAGGGAAAGGGTCACGGCGACCCGCAGGTTTCCTTCCGTTGGCCAATTTCCAAAGCCCATCTGCAGGCGCGTCTTCCTGGTCCGTCTGGTCTGGAAGCTCTGCTGGAAACGGTTCGGTGTCCCAGCAGAGTGCACGCCACTGAGGATGGACAGGTGGTATCTGCATGCGAGGTGCCTTGTGCAGGAAACTAACCTGCGTGTCCGAAGCAGAAGGGAGGGATTCTACCGCGGAACCACCACTGCCTGCCCCCTGCCCCCAACATGCCCTCACCCAGGCTCAACACTGAGGAGGGCTCGCTCAGCACACGGTGTCATGGACGACAACCCCTGAAGTCGGTGACAGCCTAGCCCCAGCTCATGGATAAGGATGGCAAAGCCAAGAGTAGTTAAGGGATGCCCAGCATCCCATGACAGGTAAGAGGCCCAGCACATCTGACCCTGAGCCTGTGTAGCTCAGAGCCCCTCGGTGGCAATGCCATCCGGCTGCAGCTTATAGCCAAGGGCTGCTGTGACGGTCAGCCGAAGCCATGCACACAGGCCCAGCCCAGTGCCTGGCACAGAGTAAGCACTCGGCTCACACGCTGTCCTTCTTTCTGTCCTCGCTGTGCCTACTGGGGCCTCGACTCTGTGCAGTGGGTGTGCCGGGACCTGCCTTGCTTGAATCCTCCGGGTTCCTGTCACAACACCAGAGCACAGAAGACCATTCCCAGTCCTGCAGCAAAGGAGATAGTTGCAGAATCAAGCGACCTGCTCCAAGTTGCAGCCTGCGTTAGACCCAGAGCCCAGAAATTCCCAAGGCGCTCCCCAAGCAGGGGAGTGGGGCAGGGGCATCCCAGGCAGAGCGGACAGCCTAGCAAAGGCCTGGAGGGCCTGAAGATCCTTGACCCCTTCAGAATCCACGGATGGCCTCGGGCCCAGGTGAGGAGAGGGGAGGCTGTGCGAGCCAGGGCCAGCTCTGTGAGCCCTCCTAGGCTATCCCATGTTGGAGTGCAGAAAAAACACTCCAGGTACTAGAAAGGAGGAGGCAGGGAGGCAGGAGCCACCCCCCCGCCCCCCGCCACCCCCCGAGGCCCCATCTCCTCGGAGTATGGTGACAGCTTCCCTTCCCACCCGTGATTCCACTGCCTGGGAGCTGAGCTGGCCTTCTGAGGGAAGCCACGTGACTCACCCTTTAAAAGACACTGCTCCCCTGCCTCTGAGATCCTGGCATTCCCTGCGACCCCCAGTGTCGCGTCCAGCCCTTTGAACGGCCAGGCTCCCGCTGCTGCTGCTGCTGCTCCTTGGAGCGCAGCCACACATGCTGGGAGGTGGAAACGGCTCGTTCTCACTTCCTACATGGCCCCCGTCTGCCCACACTGGTCCCACCTCCTCCAGCCACCTCGGGCCACGCTCGCTCATGTCCTGGTTCTCGAGGCCGCTTGTCAAGTGAAGCGGCCGGTGGTTGACGTTGGGATTATGGAACTGGAGATGAGTGTTTGCGGAGTTTCCGGGGTGGTCAGGGACCCCACTTCGGAACACATAAATGAAGCGGAGGAAAACCATCTCCAGAGCCGCTGGATGGGGCCGGAGGGAGGAGGCTGGAAGGCGTGGCTTGCGTAGAGACTTGCCCTGCATAAACACGCACATCCTCAGCCTCAGCCTCCAGGGAGCCCGGGAGCTCCAGACGGACAGCGCATTCCCCACCGTCCAGGAACTGGGCAGGGGAGGAGGGGGAGGGTACTGGAAATTACCCTGAACACCGAGACAAACCTCAAACCCTGAGCTCAGATCTCTCCACTCCAGGTTGCCCGAGTCAGGGCTCTGAGACCAGGCTCTGGCCAGGATGCCAGGAGGTCCAAGTGGGGATGTGGCGAGGGGTGGGAGTCTCGGGTGTGATTGTCCCAGGGAGGCAGCTGACTCCCTGCCCACCAACAGGCATGGCATCTCTGGAAGAAGTTTCCAGCACACAAAGCAGCACCGCGTGGCCATGTCCAGCAGGGGGTCCCCTGGGTGGCACCGCCATTAGGCAAGTCCTTGGCCATTAACCGAGAGGTTGGAGGTGGTGAATCTGCAGAGGGGCCTCTGAAGACAAGCCTGCCGGTCATGGAATACTTCTAGAAGGCCAGCCACACCAGCCCCGCGGAACACGGTGCTACAGCGACAGACACGGCATCACCACGAGACGGAGGGGGCCCACTGGCACACGGACTCTGTGCAGAGACACCTACTGGGGGGCACTGCGTAAAACTGCCAATATTTGACCCTCTTAACATAAAGAAAAGTGGTGTTTGGTTCCAGCGGAGCTGAAACCTCATGGAGAGGCCCATGCGCCCTGTGAGCACGTCTTGCGCGGGGACACATGATGGGCACCGGCAACAGCTTGCCTGACCCTGCGCAGGGAGGTGCTGAGTGAGACACGCCAGACCCGAGATCCCAACTTTGTGAAGTGCTTTAAACAGCCAAGTGATGGCCAGGGAGAATCTAGGGTGATGGAAGAGGCCCGGAGGGCAGAGGGGAGAGGTGGCTGTGCCGTGGGAGGCAGCCCAGGGGACCCTTCTGAGAGACCTGTCCCACGCTGGGTGGAGGTGGTGTCCTGCACACTGCGGGGACCAGCGCCAGACCCTGGTTAGAGTGAGGTCAGCAGTGTGTGCGCGCGTGTGGGGTAAGCAAGCTAGGCTACACAGCGGCTCTCTGTGGTTAGAGCTACACTCACGTCGGGAGAAGAAAGAAGAACTCGGGACACACACAGACCCGGGGAGGCACCGCACCAGAGCTGTGACGGGGTTGTTTCTGCGCCAGGGACCGGGAGGGTCCCCATGCACGGTGGGGTTCAGAGTTACCTGTAATGCTTTCATTTTTTAATAAGAGAGAATGCTTGAGCAAACAGGCCTGATGTGGAGGTTCTCCAGAGTTTGGGGGCGGGGGGCGGTACATGGCTGATGCCTTCTTCTGTTTTACTCTCTCTTGACTGTAATGTGGGTGAGGGCTGACACAGCATGTTGGCTTTCCATTCGCCAGTTCATGCCATTGCCCTGGCATGATCACAGGGCTCACAGGTGTGGCAGATAGCTCTCTGCCCACTTCCTGCCTGTGTGTGCCGCTTCTCACCCCGCCCTGGAGTTAGAGCTTGGTCCCTGGGCACATGCTGCCCCTTGGGTTCCTCCCGGTGGGCTGTCCTGAGGAGCGGACACTCCCCCGGGTTCCGGTTCCTCGCACAAGCCTGTCCTGCTTGGGGCTAAAAGGTGAGCGGTGGCAGGTGAGTTCCTCTCCAGGGCTGAAGGGGGAGTGAGGGCCAGACATACTCTCTGTGGGCCCGTCCATGTGTCTGAGAGGCACGCTGCGTCAGAGCTGACCAGCCAGGCTGGGCTGGGCTGCCAGGACCTGAGGGTGCAGGACGTGCAGGGCTGGCACACCAGGCTGCACCCCCGCGTCTGACCCGCCCCCCACACCGACCCCGCTCCTCCCGCAGCCCCCAGAGAAGGAGGGTGCCCTGCCTTGGCAGGTGGGCAACAAGACGGAGTGCGGCCTGCTGGGCTTCGTGCTGGACCTGAAGCAGGACTACGAGGCCGTGCGCACGCAGATGCCGGAGGAGAAGCTCTACAAAGTGTACACCTTCAACTCCGTGCGCAAGTCCATGAGCACCGTCGTCAAGCTGCCCGACGGGAGCTTCCGCATGTACAGCAAGGGAGCGTCCGAGATCGTGCTCAAGAAGTGAGTGGACGGGCGCCGGGAGACACAGGGACAGGCCTGCCCAGGCTACACAGCCAGACTCACCCCTGGGGCCGCTGGCCCAGGGCGCTGTCCACTGTTTTCGCCGTAAAACGGCTACAAACCTCCCCCTCCTCCTCCACTGAGTCGTGGGGACCTCTCCCCACCCCACAGCTAGGTGCTCTTATGTTGTCCACCCCCAGATAGACAGTGCTGGCCAGCTTCCTCGTACTCCGGGTGCCAGGGATTGGTCTGGAGACTGAAGGTATTCCCGCCTCTGGGCCTCAGTTTCCTCGCGTGTCTTTCGAGGGGAAGGGGGTAGCCCCTGGCTCTCAACCCCAGGGGCACACAGGCACATCCTAGGGCGCGTTGAGTTCGACCACCCAGGCAGATGTCCACGCTGAGTTCCCAGTGTCTTCTGGGCTGGTTCGCATGTCATCTTGGCCTGGACCCGTGGCTCTGACCTGTGTGCTCCCAGCCCTGAAGCTCCCTGGAAAACGGGCAGGGCTGGGCTGGGTGCTGGTAGGTGGGCCACTCTGCGCAGCAGGAGGAGCTGCCCCATCACCCTCCCATCCCCCATGCAGGTGCTGTAAGATCCTCAATGGGGCAGGTGAGCCCAGGGGCTTCCGGCCCCGGGACCGGGACGAGATGGTGAAGAAGGTGATTGAGCCCATGGCCTGTGACGGGCTCCGCACCATCTGCGTGGCCTACCGTGACTTCCCCAGCAGCCCGGAGCCCGACTGGGACAACGAGAATGACATCCTCAACGACCTCACCTGCATTTGCGTGGTGGGCATCGAGGACCCCGTGCGGCCCGAGGTAGGCCCCCCACAGACGGCAGGCTCCAGGAGGGGCCGAGAATGGGAGCCGGGGTCTAGTCTAAGCTGCTTCTCCCCTCTGAGCCTCAAAGTGCCCTCACGTGGGCCCAAAGGTGCAGGCCAGCTCAGGCCACACTTGGCCAGGTCTGCTCAGAAGGGCCCGAGCAGGAGGCACAGCCTACAGGTAGGGCAGCAACACCCCACTTTCATGGGAGAAGGCCCCGGGCCTCGGGGAGCCACTTGGGTCTGCTGCTCTGCCCACCAGGAGTCAAGGTCTTATGTAGCCAACCGCCCGGCCTAGATTCTAGGATCCCCGTGCAGGCCAGGCTGGTGACTCGGGAAGCTCACCGTTGGTGTCACCGTCGGTTTTCCCCAGTGACAGAGGCCGCTGTCCTTGGCAGCCAGCAGACCTGGGCAAGGTTCCCCAGGAGCACGGCTGACAGTCAGCCCTGGTCAGAGTTCCAGAATCGAGCGAGGAAGTGAACAGGTCAAACTCATGAGCAAGAGACAAAGGATTCTATTACGTGAGGTGGCATCCTTGCTGGCCACCATGGAGGGAGGTCATGGCTGTGGGGACACCTAGTGGGTGCCCAGCCCATGGGAGGCCCGCCGTCTCCCTCACCTGCCTCTGCCCCTGGAGAGAAGACAGAGGACCCAACCTAGGAGGTTTGTGGGTGGGGACACACGCGTGGTTGGTCGGATGCCCAGGCTGCAGAGAAGCTGTTGGGAGAGGAGAGGGCTGACTCCGAAATGCTGCTGGGCTCGGGCCCCCGATGTGTCCACAGTGACCCCTGGGCAGACTTCCTTCGGCACCTCTGTGGCCCACCCCGGCACGGTCACCACCAGGCCCTGTGGTCCAGCCCTGGTCCCCTGTGAGCCCTTCAGTACGCCCTTTTTCAAAGCGACAGGAGTGAGACAAGGCGTTCCCCCAACCGCCCACTGCGATGCTGTGAGCTCCGGTGTCCCAAAGACCACGGGGAGCGAGAGGGTGGCAGACAAGGCGTGTCCCCACTTAGGCAGGGGGCTGCGGGCAACATCAGAGCTGGGTCCTGAGTTTCAGCATTGCTGACAGGGTGGCCGTGGCCGCTCTCTGCAGACCGGGACAGTCACAGAGTCTCCTCCCCAGGGGACTCTGAGGAATCAGACTGCATGTCTGAGCAGCAGGCAGAGTGCCTGACACAGGGTGGGTGGCCCATCCAGGCGCGTGCCTTCCTCCACCACCTCCCAGGAGCTCCATGGCTCTGACCCAGAGCAGCTGCCAGCACCGCCTGATGCTGGCGTGCAGGAAGGGCTCTGTGAGGGGTGCGGGATGAGAATCAAGGAGTTGAACCCCAATTGCCAACGCCATGTCACACGCACAAGCTTCCCATAGGGTGTCACCAGGGCCCCCTCATTTCTGCCTGGAGCTTGGCACCGGCCACGCTGACCCAGGGCGACAAGGCAGAGGCTTGTCTCTGAGCAGTGCAGGGGGGCTGGCCGAGTCCTGAGGGTGTCCAGACCTCTGGGTGGGGGGTGGTCCTGACCAAAGTTCCCAGTTCACACGCTGCCTCGGAAGCATCCCTGAGGGTGTAGAGTGGGTAGAAGCTGCATCCGACAATGTCTTTTGGCCATGCGCCGCCATGAAAGCTTCAGGCCACCGTTCCCTAAGCGCAGCCGGAACAAGTC